TCCAACATTTAATAAAACATTATTAAAATCAAGTCGTATCTATTAATACTATTAAAAGAACCTGAGCTAACATGGACTAACAATGAACAGCTGCAAAGATTAATACACTATAACAACTGTATTTGTCATAGTTAGCTAATACTAGTTAATGCGTTAAATATAGAACCTTATTTTAAAGTGTTACCGAAACGTCTATACACAGCAGGTATACAATTGAACTGATTATTAACCTAGATGAAGCTGTTTAAAAGTTAACGCCATCTACTGTTCATTCCATTGTTTACATTTATTTTCATATCTGAATTAATATTTACCTAGTAAAATAAGTGTTAGTACTGAAATTGTTCTGTATTAACATTAACATACTGAAATGATTAAATGTATTAAGCTAATTCAATGACACCAACTAAGAGTACTGAGTACAGATACAGTATTCATCACAATTCACCTTGTTCCCAGTGCCAGCACAACAGATGCCCAGAGCCATTGCAGCGCCGCAGCGGACGTGAGGATTGTAGCTCTCAGACAGCAGAGAAACCACACTGGGACATTGTTCTGGAGTCCTGTAGACACAAACACAAAACACTTGAAGCAAAGACCATCCATTTCTCCAAACGGTTTATTTTCACTGACAGTAATACTTCGGATCGACTGAAGGAATGCGAGGCTTTAGTTCTTTGTACAAAGTTTATGCAAAGGAACTATTAAACTGGTGTGCAGCCAAGTTGACATTTGTAACAAAAGAATCTAACTCGATAAAACAGTACAGCATGGTTATTTCGGTTTCCATTCATTAAGCATATCTGAAGTATGCACATGAGTTTATTATGAACAAGACCATAAAATTATGGCAATGGGATTGTTAGGCCATAAATGTGACAAGACTTTCTGGCCTAATATTTTGTACTTTGGTACAAAGGCATAATAGATGTTTTATTGTTCAAAATGTGGTTCTTTGGCTTTTAATACAGTTGAATGATATGTATAGAAAGCTTCTCTATGAACATAAATATACATTTCTATGCAAACTCGAGTGTTGAGGAACATACTCAGTTTACCAAATGACAAGCCAATTAACAAGATTGAATTTGTTAAACTACAGTAAAGCTAGCTACATTTTAAAAAAAAATTTGAAATAGCTATAGTACAAGGTATAATCGTAAATATAACCACACATGTAAATACTGCAAACAGTGTAAAACTTATTTTAAACTTGTTACATAGATGATTTATGATGTGAATGCCTATTCAAATTATATGTTAAACATCATTTTGTGTAAAAAAAAAAAAAAAGAAAGAAAGAAAAGCCAAATGCCATATTTTCCCTCCATTTTATTTTCTTCCAGAACTGAAGTTACAGGTTGGCACAAAAAAAAGAGAAACATGTCCTTGAAACCTTTACTGCAAGACTATGTAAATCTTCTGTTTAAGTCTGCGGTAATGGTACTCTTAAATAGCCTGAAGGTCTAAATGGCCATGCAGGAATAAAGTAATCAAATAACAGCCTCGTTTTCCTCATTAAATCCTCGGCTATGCCAACACTCAGATGTCACATAACACGAAGTCACTGAAAGGGAGCAAACTTATTACATTAAAGAGAATTAGCTCTTCTCATTGACTTGACTCTAAAAGAATGTGCAATTTACATTAAAAAAAAAAATAAAAAAAAATCAATCAATCAATCTAGGGATGCACTGATATAGAAATTCTGCCAAAAAACCTAATAAATGTTTTTTTGTGGTCAATAACGTAAACAATGTCCATTATTATGAATCTTAAGTGCTATATACTAGTATTACGTTTCATAAGCTGTTTCCATTACCCCTCAAACTGCGCAAATTGAAATTGCGAATTGAAAATACGTCCAATTTTGCAAATACTCCCATATAAATCGCAATACTTTTTAACGCTCGCATGAGGTGTTTTTTTCACATTTACTGGTCACCTGGCTTACCCTTCGATTAAAAACAACTGTTAGTGCTGTGGCATACGTAAACCTAGCAACATCCGTCGCCATGACTTCTGGCGAGAGGGGAAAAAAAAAAAAAAGACGTTTTAGTTTAGCATAACATCCGTTAATAAAAACGCGTCATTTTGCATTTTTTTTATCGACATTTATTAAATAACGCAAAAGTTTGGTGCAAATTAGAAATGGAAACACAGATATTGTTAAGCTCCAATCTAGATACTTAAATGCGTCAAACTAAATCAAGTATCAAATATTATCAAACTATACATAAGAAAAGACGCATATATCTATATTTTCTATGTAAACATGGAATGAAATCGAATCAATATCTAATCTTTAAATCAGACTAATCTAGATCATTCGATTGCAATGTGCTCAGAGATTAATTGCGCAAAACCAGATTTGTATAGTTTGTATAATACCAGGTTGATTTAAAATAAACTGAATTAAATTTAAAATGCCAACTAGCAATAAAAAGGATTTGACTTAATCTTTCATCAGGCTGGAATTAATGTTTTGCGCTGGATATCAAGGGCCGAACTTGGCAAGCTGGGAAATACAGTTTCAACATTGAAGTTGGGAACCTTCTGTACAAATACAAATCTTGGCCAGGGTCTTATGCTCATCCACGGCCATTTATTCAATCTAATCCTGACTGGTCATTTGGGTTTTAGAGGCTCATCTGAGATTCAGACTGGAGCTTCATTTGTTTCACACAGAAGTCTAGATTTGCATTCAATAGGTTCTGGTATTCATTCATAACTACTTGCCAATTTGATAAATTTGGCATTTACAAAAAAATAAATAAATAAAATAAAAGTACAATGTTTGCGCTCCACACTATATACACATGCCTATGCATAGTACATTTATAAATTCAAAAAACAGAAATCCATGATTTAAACACTAACGAAAAAGTACTAAACATACTAATAAAAAAAAAGGTACTATGTACAATATATGTACAACTTGCACTCATTCAATGTCAAAGTTCACTGTCCCCACAAAACTTATATATATATATATATATATATATATATATATATATATATACATTTATATAAACAGTTTTGTCTTACTTTACACACGCAT